TTACAGTCTAGAACCAAAAGGGCCCCTCAGAATCTCACATTTGGAGGTGCGTCCTGGTCTGAAGGGGAAGGTCACTAGGGGCATGACTTGGAGGGGTGTGCTCTTGTCCTGGCTCCTCCCTTCTATCTGCATCCTACTGGACATGTGGCGAGCAGTTTTCCTCTGCTCTGCTGCTCTGCCTTGGAACCAGCTGACCATGGACTGAGTCCACTGAAACTGTGAAAATAAAATAAATGTCTCTTCCTGTAAGTTATTAGTATTGGATATTTTGTCCTAGTGACTGCAAAGTGACTAAGATACCCTTAAAACTCCTACCAGACTCATGTGTTACCTCCCTCTATGTTGTCTGGAGTCAAAGGATGTTTAACTCTTAGCACATCAGCAAGTGTCCTTCTGCTTAATGTAAGAGGATCTCACACGAGTTTCTCAAGCTCAGCTTGACAGTCAGGCTCCGATGCGGATTTGCATCAAGAACAACCGAAATAGCCAAGCTAACTTGGGTTTTGTCACATCCAGTCTGTCAACCATAAGAGGGACTGTGGTTGGGTTCAGCCCATTGGCTTGTTTCAGAAGCATTATTATTATTATTATTTTTTTTTTTGGTTTTTCTCCGGTACCGGGAACCGAACTCACGACCTTGCGCTTGCCAGGCAGGCGCTTTTGCCGCTGAGCTAAATCCCCAGCCCCTCAGAAGCATTGTTGCCTCTGCAAATCTGAGAGGACGCCATCCTGTGTTTTGAGAGGACTGAGCTGACACCGTGGTAGTTTCCTCCCTAGAGAGTTTATATCTCTGGAGAAAAATATATGCTCCAGCTTCCTCAGACTCTGTCCGCCAAGGAAAAACTGCATCTCAGAATTGTTTTCTGGCCTCTTTAAAAATCACGGAATGGATTTCATGGTCTGCCTTTTCTCTGGAACTGGCAAAGGGTGCTGTGAATGAGTCACCCTGCTTCTTGGGGATGTTTTGCTCCAAGAGCTTGGGGTACCATGAAATGACCAACAGCCTCTGGAAGGCTTCCTTCCCCTGCGGGGCCGAGCCTGTGCATTGCTGGAACGCAACGGCGGGTACATTTTGAAGTTCGAGGCACAGGCCCAGTTCTGCCACTGAGGAAACCTGGCTGGCAGCTGCATGCAGAGGGAGCTGTGGGGCAGGGCGAGGCCATCCCCACTGACCGCGGGCCCAGGATATATGCCTTCCTCCGTCTAGGCTGATTTCCTCCTCTGGAAAATGAGGGTAGGAGGCCTGCTGTCCCTTTTATTATTCTATTGTCCAGGGACCCCATGCCTTTGCACCTGTGTAGTCCTATCTAATCTCTAGGTAGAAAGGCCAAATCTGAACCATGGTACTTTGCTTCCCGTGCCACAGAAGGGTCAGGGCCTGTGGCCCTCAACAAGGAACCACGCCGCTGAGTTCTGTTCAGTTCTGTTAAGGAACACATGAAAGCCCTTGCTCTGTCTAGACTGTTCTGGGCACGATGGTGCCGAGGTGTGGGATGTGCTATGGCTCGCCTTTAATCTGTGGGGCTGGAGGGCCACACAGGCTGACGATTACGATAGACTGGCAAGCCTGGTGACTTTCTGTCTGAGGGGCTTTGGGAGTGCAGGACGGCCCCAACCCCACCTGGTGGAGAGCTAGAAGTCTTCCGGGGGAGGTGACAATGTGGAGGGCGGGCATTGTGGCTGTGATGAAAGGAGACGAGGACTGGAAAGTCCTTCCCCGGTGTGGGCCTCGGGCTCCCTGAAGACTGTTGGGCGGACGGCTCACTCACTGGGGGGCTGTGTCTTCCCACCTCTGGACTTCTGGGGTGAGCAAAGTGTGATGCTGGTTGCTGCCTGTCTAGTGACCAGGAGACTGTCCTGTGTGAGGCCTGGGCTTTCCTCATCTCCAAAGTCCTTAGGGGCACAGAGTGTCCCCCCACGCCCCTCCTGGTTTGACCAGGTCCCAGTTCCTTTGGGAACACCCTGAGCTGAGAAAGCTGACAGCAAATCATCCGTCCTTCCCTGACCCACCGAGAATTGCCGCAGCTGGCAAACAGCCTTGATGCTCGCGAAGAACCTTGGCGCGTAGCCACGGACAATGTCAGAAAGGAAATTCTTGTTCTGAAGTGTCTATCTGGCAAATTGCTGGAGTCTCTGGTCCCAGAGGGGCAGGACAGCAACCCTGGCCCCTCAGTCCCCTGAGTCTTGCTGTCTCCCCATCCTCCCTCCTGAAAAGCAGGAGGCTGCTTGCTCTCTGCACCGCCTCCCTCCCTGCAGGACCACCTGCTGCCCGGCCCCTCCAGCCTTTCCCTGTAGTCAACTCCCGCTGCTCTGTGGCTCAGTCTTCTGGATACTTCTCACCCTGCCTGACATCATGTGGCCTCCCACCAGCATCTGACCCAGAGGAAGCCCTTCTGGGAGGACCTCCCTTATACACCTCCTTCAAAGATCTGTTAGGCCGGGTGTGGTGGTGCACGCCTGTAATCCCAGCACTCTGGGAGGCTGAGGCAGGAGGATCATTGTGAGTTCGAGAACAGCCTGGGCTACAAAGTGAGCTCACAGCTGGCCTCAGCTGCACAAGTGAGACCCCGTCTCAAAAAGACGAAGAAACAAAAACGAAAACAAACCAAAGATCTGTTAGGCCCAAGGGCTCCTGGCGCTCTGCTGGTTTTCTTCTCCTACACGCACATCTCATTCTGAGCCTCAGTGTCCTTCTCGGTGAAAGTGAGGATGATAATAGTACCTTTCCCAAGGGGTGGGTGAAGGGATTAAATGAGCTAATACATGAAGCACTTAGCACTTGGTGCAGTGTGTTCAATGAAGGTTGGTTAAATTATTACTTTTTCTAACATCTGCATGGATATCTAATGCTATGACCTTTATAATTTGGCCAACATTGAACTCTTGACTTGACTTTAGCCCCTCAGGGGCTCCTACCTAGACTTCTCCATCTCAGTAATTAGCAGCTCCTTCCACTCACCCGGAAACCGGGCAGTCAGTCTCAGGTCCACCCCCTCTGAGCAGCCACGCGCTTGCTCTGTCCCCGAGGACTGTGGGTGCTTCCTCCCAGTGTACTCAAATCAGCCACTCTTGCCACCTCCCCTGCCAGACCCAAGTCACTTTCACCCCATCCTGGAAGACTTCCAGCCTCCTTTCTGGCCTCCTTGACCCTGGGCACCTCCATCAGTCTCTCCAGGGGGCTGTCGGCAGGGTCTCTCAAAAACTGACCCCAGATCATGTCACAGCCCCACGTCCTCCCTTACCATCCTCAGGAGCTCCAAGCTCAGCCCCGCCTCACAGCCCAGGTGGCTCCAGCCCCTGCTAAGGGCCCCAGCGTCATCTCCCACTGCTCTGCGCCCTATGGCACCTCCACCAGATCCATCCAAGCCAGTGATCCCTTTGCCTAAATGCCACAGGGGCTCTTTCCCAGTCTTCAGGGCTCAGCTAAAGTTCCCCTCTCAGGGGAGTCCCCTTGGTTCCTGTCCTCAGAGCTGCTCACCCCCGTCCCTGTTCCCTATTTAATCCCATCCTAGCACTCGGGACAATCTGTCTTTCTGCATCAGTAGATACGTTCTCTGCTTTCTTGACCACCTCTCACACCAGCCTGTGAACTCTATGAAGGCAGAGGAGCTTGTACATTTTATTTACCAGTAGGCATCCGCCAGGCACTCACTACATGCTTACCCACAAGACCTCAGCAAGATCTCCAGCCCCGGGCTCTGGGAGCTCAGGGAAGTTCCTCCGCCTCTCTGGGCCTGGAGTTTCTGGCACCTGGCAAGTAGACTGGCCTGGCTGGTGAAGGGCTCTCCTCCTAGCTCTGGCCAAAGGGGGAGGCTGCCCAGACTGGCCTTGCCCCACTCTGCACTCCTCAAGGGCAAGAGTCCTCTTGTTGACAGAGTGCTTCTCATGTGTTTGCTGAGTTGAATGGAGTCAAACAGCCCTGCCCAAGGCTCTGGAAGCACAGATGCCAACAACTCCAGGCCTGGGAAGGCAGCAGGGGAGCTAGCTTGAGGTCCAGGGAGCTGATTTAACTATTGGATGATTAAATGTGTTTAATTGTTGGGAGGCAGCAGTGGTGGAAAGTTGAGCACAGACCGCAAATGGCAGGAGGTCTGGTTCAAATTCGGGCTGTGAGGAGGAGCCTCCCTAAATCCAACCATCTGGATGGAGGAGGTCGCAGCCAGAGCCTGCGGTCCCAGGTGGCTGTAGCCTGGGCCAGTTCAGGGGCTGGGTTCCCTCCTGGCTCCTCTGGGGAGTCCCACCCTGAGCCCCTCCCTGAGTTGGCAGGGACACAGGGAGAAGGTGAGGCCAGACGCAGGGCGTGACCCTGGGCGGGTGGCTGGCTGGGTTCCTGCTCTGGAAGCCAGAGCTAATGCACTAGCCTCAGGCGAGGGCTGAGTTTGCCTGGCACTGCTCCCGCCAGCCTGGAGAATCCAGGCCTGGGGTTCCTGTCCCAACAAGCCTAGTCTGCGCAGTGCCGGGCCACCTCTACTCCTGGAGCTCTTGAATTGTGGTGGGGGGAAGCAATGGATGGGTTACAGTTGGTATCATTGTCTGCAAGGATGCAGATGCAGGTGGAGGCTTTCACCAGGGAGGACTCCAAGAACAGGTGCTAACCAGAAAGAGAAGCCAGGATCCCCTCCTGGCAGAGAGGAAGCAAGGGCAAAGGCAGAGGGTGAGACTGCACCAGGGTGGGAGTGACGAGTTCTCAGCCGTGGAGGAGTGCGGTGACGGGACTGGGGCGGCTGGCTAGGCCCCCACGTGGCCTCTTAAGGGTGGGCTTTGGCTTGAGCCCAGGAAGCTGCTAAAGGACCAGACTTGTGGTTTTAGTTTTGTTTTGGTTTCTTTTGCGGTTCTGAGGATTGAACTCAGGGCCTGGAACACGCTAGGCAAGCACTCTGCTACTAAGCTGCATCCCCAGCCCTTTTTATTTTTTATTCTTATTTTTTGTTTGTTCTGGCACAGGGTCTTGCTAAGTAGCTCAGGTTGGCCTCAAACATTCAATCCTCCTGCCTCACTTGTCACCCACTACCCCCGCTTCCCACTAGCTGAGGTGACAGGCAGGTGCCACCATGGTAGGCCTGAACTGAGTTCGGAAAGGGGCATGTGAAGGCCGTGGTCGGGTGAATTGGGCTGGGGTCTGGCTGAGTGCGGGGAAGGACACAGGAGGGTGTGGTGCGCGGGTGCAGGTAGTCTTGGGCATGAGGTGGCAGAGGAAGATCGGGGCTAGTGTTCTGACCAATTCCTGGAAGCCGAGGACACAGGAGGAGGCAGGGTGCAGGCAGAGGGCTGCAGACGATAGGTCAGGGGGGGCCCAGAGCCCCTGAGAGAGGCAGGCCTGCGGAGGGAGCTCTGGGGTGAGGCCGGGAAGACAGCCGCCTCTGAGAGTTCCCTCCTTAGGCCAGCAGTGCTGACTTCATAATGTGATCTTTATGTTGCTTTTTCTCCTTCACACTCTTCCTGCCCCCTAATTCTGGCTCCTTGGATTACCTCCGCAAAGAATTCTTGTCTTGGGCTCTGCCGAGCTAAGATGACGTCCAGTCAAGGCCATCAGACAGCAGGCACCTCCTGGGCTAGCTCTGGCTGTGTCCTCAGGCCCCGGGGAAAGTAGCCCGCTGCTCATGACTTGCCCGCCCCATCTGCCCCGGGTGTGGAGGTAGACAGGGTGAGCCGAGGCCAGAGGGAAGAGGAAAAGCTGAGTCCCAGAGCGTCATGGGAGAGAGCTGGAGACTTCCCCCAGGGGTCTCTCTTCCTCATCAGGCTGGGCTGGGGCAGGAGCAAAAGGAGCTGAACTACAACCCCGTGTCCTAGCAGGTGCACCCGGAAGGCCAACCAGGGGTGGGGAAAGGCCAGGTGTGCAACAAGCCACCATCGAGGACTTTGGCCCTAGGCAGGTTGGGCTGGGAAGCTCTGTGCTCAGGCCTTGTGCTCAGACATACAGACCAGCTGGGGAGCAAAGACTGCCTGTGATCAGAGGAGCTGGATGGCACTTGAAAAATAACTTCATTGTTTTCTATTGCCCAAGTAACCGGAGCTCCCTGTAGAAAACTTATTAAAGCAAGCACAAAGGAAAAAATTATTAAGCTCCTCTCTGACCCCCCATCCCCAGGACAACTGCTAGTAATATGGTAATGTTTAACCCTTCTATTTTTCCCTTGCCACTTCTTAAATGTGGTTGTATAATTAACCCTACCACATATAAATCTTTTACTATTACATGAACTCATTCTATGTCAATATATATATATATTGTCAATATATATAGAGAGACAATATATATATGTATGTATAGTCTGGGTTAGCCTTAGTATTTTTATACCTTTGTTCGGTATATGATTCATGATCATGTACATTACTTTAGCTCTGAGACCACATGTAGTCCATACAAAAGAACACACTAAAAATTGCCTCTAGCATTTTGCATTTCTGTTGAAACCAGCTGCCCTGAACCTTTGTGGGTATTTTTCAGCATATTCTCCGGGTGTGTTTGAGAAAACATTTTCCACTTGGCCATTGGCCAGTGTTTTGTTTTGTTTTGGTTTAGTTTTTTTCCCGGTACTGGGACTCAAACTCATGACCTTGCGCTTGCCAGGCAGGCGTTGTGCCACTGAGCTAAATCCCCAGCCCCTGGCCCGTGTTTTGAACTCAATAAGTATGTAGGTAAATGAAGTTGGAGATTGGACTGTGTATCTGTTTTTCATTGTTGCTGTAACAAATTACTACAAACTCAGAGGCATCAAACAATCTTATTCATCCTTTCAGTTTAGAAGTGCGGGTGGATAAGACCAATTGCTCTGTTTAGAATCTCACAAGGCAAAATCAAGGTGACAGCCACTCTGGGCTCTTAAATGGAAGGTCTGGGGGGAAAATAAACTTCCAGGAGTATCCAGGGATTTGGAGAATTCAGTTCTTCATGCAAGTGTGAATGCGGCCCTCCTCAACCCCTTTAGGCTGTCTGCCTGCCTAGGCACATTACTGGGTCCATGTTCTAGACCATCAACAGCAGACATTCTCCTGCTGCTGATCTCCCCAGTTACCCCCTGCCACCCCTCTCTTGTGTCTTTTCTGCCCCCAACAAGAGTCAAATCTTATGTATGCTCATATATTTACAGTGGACTCGACCCAATAATTCAGGGTCTTCACCCCATGCTAATGTCTATGACCATATACTGTGAAGTTCTTTATTCAAAGGTTCCAGGAATTAGGACATCTTTTGGAGTCATTTGCCTACCATAAAATATTACGTATTCCTATGTGAGATATTGTTTGCTTTCATATGTTTGTGTTCAGAGATATTATCGAGTATTTTCTCAAAGAACTGGGAATATATATGAATACACATTCTTCAAAAGTACCATGTTCCACATTTCCCCTTGTTTATTTCAGTTTCTTTTTGGACCTCTTCCACTTGGGGGAGTGGGTGTGGAAACAAAGCTGTGTGGATCCAACTCCATCATGTGTTTCCATCATACAGATTTTAGCCCTCATTCTAATGAAGACCATCCCTGCTCAGCCTACTGTTCTGCATTTGGTTTAGAAAAATTTCAGTACAGGTAGTTGTTAGTATCACCTATGCTGAGAGCAGATATAAGAGGTCTTTTGTAACTCAAAAATCTTTAATTCAGCATCACCCTCAGCACATAAAATTTCTCAGATCACTAACAATTTTAGAAATGTTATTATTTCTAAAGTTAACTTTGTTCTGTAGAAAAAATTGGCATGGAAAACTATATTCTCTCTCTCTCTCCCTATGACTCTACATTATCATTCATTCAAAATAAATCAAATCAGCTTCTTGAGATCTTAAAAATCTTAAGCTCTTTGGTTTTACTTTGTGTTTGCTCTGAGGAGAACAGCATCTTACTGGAGATCTAAGTGTAAATTATTAAAAAGCAAATTGAGGCACAATAAAATTTGAAGAGTTTACTTGAGCTAACCATGATTCATGAATGGGGCTGTCAGACGAGACCTGGTGCGTGGGCTCCACTAAGAGAATGGGAGGGGCTGAGGTTTACAGGACAAACACGGAGGAAAGCCAAGAAAGAAATAAAACAAAAATAAGACAAGGAAAAATATAGAGTTGCTTACCTTTAGTTATACAGTTGCCACATTACGTGTGTTTGCCTGGAAATTCCCTAGTTCTATAAGTTAGGTGGTGGCTTTCGACTGATTTGCTTTGAGTTTGATTTTTCTTTAATACAGGAATTCATAAAAAATAGTTCAAGTTAAACTTCTGTTTGCAAATTAAGCAAGGTAAGGTTCACTTATGAGGCTTAACTGGCTTTGCTCAGGGATTTGCGAGGGCATTTTAATTTGCTTTAACAGTGTAAATACACACTGCACAACAGAGAATAGCTCAGGGAAACCTTTGAATGTGCGAGGCCATATACTTGGAAATGTACATATTCTATGTGAAATACCACAAGTGATGAGGCAGAAGGAAATGTATAGAATTGCATTTAAAAAGTTTTTTAACTAGATTTATATTTCTGTTTACATATGATTTTTTATTATATTAAAGAAGAGGGCTGAGTTGGAGGTATAGCTCAATTTTAGAGCACTTGACTACAACTTGTGAGGCCCTGGGTTCCAGCCTAGGCAGCCAATACAGGTACTTGGACACACAACAGAAGGAGGGGTATACTATGATTTCCAGCAAAAATTACCCATAATTGAATTAAATAGTGACACATGAACGTTTAGGTTTTCACTAAGTGTGTACTGAAAAGTGGCTGTCTGTATGGAAATTCATCATGGGACTTCCTGTATAATCAAAAACTTGTTCTCTTCCTCACGTGGTGATACAAAGGATAAGAAGGCACTTTAGTGTCCATGTTCTGTTGTGATGATTTCCTCACATGGTGTTGGACTTTGTTTCCCAGGTACATAAGCCCCACTTTGGACTCCCAAAGTGTCTCACAGTAGCTTCTAGGATCCATGGCAAGGTACTGTTATTTTTTTGGTTCTTCTTATAAGCAAATTGCCAAATTTTCTTTCCAGTCAAAAACCAATCCATTTCTAATTCTTTAGCCAAGCAGTTGTCTTAGTCAATTCAGGCTGGGATAACAGGATACCACAGACTGAAATGTCTCAATCCTAATAATTCTGGAGAAATTGTTATTCCTGAAGTTTAAACAACAAATGTTTATCACAATTCTGGAAGCAAGAAGGTACAGTATAAAGTTCAATCTCAGGGAGATTTGCATTCTGGTGGAAGTCTGCTTCCTGGCTTATAACTGATCATCTGCTTGCTGTATCCTCACATGGCAGAAAGAAGAGTAGAGTTTTCTGTGATCTCATTTATGAAGGACACTAATCCTACTGAGACTCTCACGATTATTAAGTCATGGAGGCAATAATCATACTTTCCAAAGACTCCTGATACTACCGCCTTAGGGGCTAAATTTTCAACATATACAATTTAAGAAGACACAAAAATTCAGTCTTTTGTTTTTCTGTTTTGTTTTTGTGTTTTTTATCAGTCTTTTCTGCCAATGTAAATCCTACTTTTATTGGCATTGGAATTCGAACTCAGGACCTTGTAGTGTCTTTTTGCCAGTGTCACATCAGTTTTTGCTATAGATTCATTTAATATGCTTATCTCCTATTAATTCTTTTTATTATTTCCAATGTTTGCAAAGTTCCTTACAGCTACTCTGATACTTCCTATTACTTCCTTCTTATTTTAAAATAATCCATTTATCTATAAATTGAGCTGTGTACTAATGATTCAGTTCTATAGATTAAAATGTATAAATATGTTTTTATGTAAATCAATGACTTAAACCAATATGATCTGCTTTATTTTTACAAGTTAAACTGCTAAATATTTAAAATATCTGTTATAGAGATTTAATTATGACATTTAAAGCTTTAAAAATTCCACTTATTTCTGGTTTATTATGTGAATCCAGAGAATTTTCTTTCAATGTTGAGTGGAATTACAAAGTTACTTAAATAGCACATAAACTTTCTGCAGCTATTTATATTTGTATTAGAACAGTTAAACTTTTTATATTCATTAAAAGCTCAAAGATAATTACTTCATAAAAAAGAGATAAATCATTTCTATTAATTTAAATTTCACCAGAGACCCAACGAAGATGGCGAGGGTCCCATGCCAGTGTGGTGGAGTTGCCCTTGCTCACCTCCGAAGTGATAGGTACCGCCTGATCCCATCGGCCTGGTCACCAGGGGCTGCCCAGCTGCCTCGCCATCCACCGCCACAGTCACGTGGCTCGAGTTAGCGGAGAAGGACACAGAATGCCACTGCCCGTCATTGAGTCCAGTGCCTGTAGGAACGAACATTCATCAAGGACAATTGTAATTATGAACTTCATAAAAAGTTGAAAATAATTTTTCAGATCACTGAATAAGTCAGAAAAGTATTTATGGGTCTGTACGCCACTGAGAAAAAATTACTTTTGTTTAGTGGAAAGATTTCATTTGTTATGATAATAATGCATGACTGAAAATATTGCTCCTTCTAAAGAATTTAAAGAATGAGAATGTGTTTAACACCCAAAATTTAATTATCAAATATACATGTCAAACATCTTTACCAGTGAGGTTACAAAGTACAGTTCAGTTCAGTCTTCAAGTGCATAATTTACTTTACTACATCTAACAGAAAGAGCTATTTTCAAAGAATCAAGAGAGTTAGTAAAGGTGAGCAAAGAACACTTGTGAAAGGCTTTGAAATGGGGAAGGATCACCGAGTGTCCATGTGAGCACGCATTCAGGTAAATGCACATTTATGTTTGAGCTATTTCAAAACTCTGTAAATTGTAGAAAACTAACACTGATGTAAAATTATTTTTGTCCATAGAAATGCAAATTACCGTGCCTGTGAGATATACATATTTGTTTATTGGTTTGTTTCATATCTGTTAATAAACTCATTTTGGCACTGTTTATCTGCCTATATGTGTAGTACTATACATTCTCCTTTGAACATCTTTATAACATCTCCTTTATAACATCTTACTAGTTTCTTCATTTTCAATGAGGTAAGTAAAATCTTCAACATATGTTCATGTGTTCTCTAAATGAACACATTACAATTATAAGTAAATTGCATATTTTAAGCATCATTATTTAATATTTGATTTAAAATACTGGAAACAACTAGAGTATACATTATATATAAGTACACTGTATTTATATATTTACATTCATATGCATATTATTCTATTATTCTTAATATTAGCTGTGCAATGAATCTTTGAAAATGACATGGAAGTGTAAAGAATTCTCTTTAATGATAAATTAAAATATTAAAATCTTTGAAATCACTAGCTGTATCTATATTTTCTTTCATCTGGTAATATGTCAAAGATACATGTCCAAAAATGGGTTAAAAGTTAGCCTACTAAAATTAGCCTATTAAATTAACATTGTGCTGGAGTTTAAAATTAGGCCAAGATCTGCAGGAATCAACTTTATCACAATAAACTCTAAATTAGTGGGAATTTTTATACAAATTCAACATTTTAGGTAATAGTCTTAGGAGACCTGCTAATTAGTAAAAGGAATCTGTGCTCAATTAATGTTAATATTTCAGCTTTCCCTTTTAGCCCTCCAGTCATGCATGTAGCACAAACAGAAATGGTAAGAGTAATGTAACAGGGAAACACTGTACTTTGAGATCATCCAGGATCACAAAACGTCTCTGAGATAAAAGTAACATCATCTAAACACAATGTCTGGGATTATTTGATTACATGGGCCTCGGTACCTTTCACCCTGTTTGAGTTGTTTTACCACTCTGTAAATTATAGAAAAATCAAAGTATGCAAATTGTCATTGTCCATAGACAATGAGTGAATTTTAATTGGTGGGAATATAACAAGAGGGAGGATTCTCCTCCCTTCTGCCTAACCCAACCTCATCTCAGGGACTAATCTTGTTTTATGTCATATATAAATTCACTGTATGATACTGTTCTTTTGTTTGTTTGTTTCTCATTTACTACTGTCTTTAAAATAAAAAAAAAATAGATTCACTCTAGTTTGTTGCTTACTTCTCTGAGATTCTCTGAATTCTCCTTTGAATTTTCTGTAACAAAGTACTTGTTCCTCACTAACTAATGAGTTAAATAAAATCTTTGACATGTTCTTTTTATAACTGTGCGGTTTTAGTAATGCTCTCATTAAAAAAGTTTGACATATGAAAGTACATCTTCATATAAGTGATTTTTAAATATCATTTAGCATCCAAATAATGTTTTTTCTTTTCTTTTTTATCTTTGAGGTTATAATTGGTCACTGGTTATAGTTTACACCCAGAGGAATCAGATATGGTACATCTATAAACATTTTAATGACAATTTATTAAATTAATTAATTGTCCAGAACCTAGACACTATTGTAATCATGTTTTCATATAAAGGTAATTTGGTTAAGAATGACAGTATTTTAAATTCAGAGGAAAAATATCACTCTCACAAAGCCATGAGCTAAAGCAGAATGTCTATGCTGCTTTAGAAGTTTTATTTTATTTAATTCTAGTTATTGTGCAAACCAGAACTGGGGAAAATGCTTGTTCAGTACTTTATTGCATCTAGAATATATGCAAAACATTAGCAATACAGTTTAGTTACTGTAGGAAAAAAGTGGACAGTCTTTGAAACTGACAAAAGAGATTACAGAGTATCTTTCCAATGGAAGGACAAATCTGATTTCATAAGCCTGTAAACCTTATCTTTGACTAGGTTATTTTACAACTGTGTATAGATAGAAATTAATTTGTAGAAGGCAGTAATGCAAATAACATTTCTCTATAGATATACACTCTCTGTACTGGGAAATAACAATTGATTTCCCTCTGCCTGTGGATATTGACAAATTTTGCTAGGTTTGCACTTATTTGTTATCTCATTTCCGCATTCCTCTTCTGATTATAAACATGCAGTTCTTGGAGTTCGTTTCTTAAATGGTTGGACTTACTTTTTGAACTGGCTTTATATAAATGTGAAAAGAAAATATGCAAACAAAAAACTTCCTTAGTGACAGACTTTCACTCATCCTCACTTTTCTTGGAAAATTTCCTTTAGATAACTTGCAGTTGTAAATTCTTTCTCTGCCTCTTTTAAAAGATGTGTACAAATCCTTTAAAAGCATTTAATTTTACAATAAGTTTTAAAATCTCTACAAAAAATTTGTTTAGTCTCTTTCTGGTTCTACAGCCCAGGGATACTTCCCTTGAAGATTGTGCGTGTCACTATGAGTGTTTAACTTAGGTGCTGGCTTCAACTTGTAATTACCTGTTTGTTCAAGAGACAGGGGAGTTTTAGTTTTGTTTAGCTCACTTCAGTTCAGTTTAGTTTAGTTTAGTTTTTTTATAAAGGCAATGAGTTATTACAAATGGCCTCCCAACTACCAAGTAAATTTAGGATAGATTGCTGACAATCCTCTTACTTGAAGACAAGTTTTCTTTCATCTTAAGGGCATGCATGTAATAGATTCTATCTGGCTGGCTACATAAAAGATGAGGTTTCTCTCTGTCTTTATAGTCTCATTAGCAATCACCTGACATGCTCGGCACTGTAAGGCTGAAATGGGACATGACTCTCCCAGCCCCCAATCTGTTTGCCAGCAGAGGCACTTTTCTCAGTGGAGACTCAGCTCAGCACTGAGGCTGTCATCAGCAAACATAGGATGTCGTAAAAGAGATAAGAAGGACAAGGAATACTGCAAATCCCAAGACATCTAGAGACACCCAAGAATTTACACTGGATGCCTCAAGGACTCTGCCCACTGAGGTGCAAGACAGCCAGAGAACTTTGACCACTAATGTTTAATAACATCTTCCTGCCTAATGTTCCTTGCCTTCTTTCAATCCCTATAAAAAGGGCCCACTTCTCTTTGTTCCCTACAGATGGCCTCATCACCCTCTGTCTGCCTGCACCCAGGCATTAAACCATGTGCCTTGTTGCTTCCACAAAAGCCTATCAAGTGGTCTCTGCCTCATTTCACGTTCCTTACAAGCACAGTCTGGTTTAAGACTTTTTCCATAACAGAATTATTTTATTCTTTTCTACCTTGTGAAGAAAATTCACTAAGTTGACAGTTGATTTTCTCTTTACTCCCCCAACACTGGTTTCTTTATTAATTAATGAGTTAAATAAAATCTTTGACAAATATTCATTCTGTATATTGTATGGCTCATGATATTTTACTTATGTGGGGAAAATATTATCTGTGAAGAAACAAAAAATAGTTTTCACTTTTAGAAGAGAAAGAATAGACTATATATCCTGTCTAAATACCTGTGTTTCATTCTCTCTTTACTTGGGATCAGAGGTGGGTGGGGACAGATTCTAACATCTGAGCTTGCTGGATTATTACAGAAGTACTGAAATAAGGTCCCACTCTCTAAATTCTTTCTTCATAGGTCTCAACATCCTACTTTCAAAAGCAATATTCAGCGGCAGTCTAGTCAAGTATGCCTCTAGCCAAACACATTATCTTTTTAAGTATGATAACTACCTGGTATCAATGAAGACATATATCTTTTCTTCTGCCCTTTCTTCTTTCTTAAACTTTCCCTCCCATTGGTTCAGATGCTGATTTTGGTATGATGCTGATTTAGGACTCAGTCTTGTCTTACATTTGCCAATCCAATTAAGAAAATTCAATCAGCTTTGTAGGTACCACATTTTTCCATAACACTCAGAACATCAGAATCAATCTCTTGCTAGTTTTGTCTTATGAGGATTTGAACACCTAGCCTAGCAGGCCAAGCATGTTCTCAACAACCACAGGCCCTTGATGGAAGATGAAGGCAAGAGAGAGGTGCATTATGCTTGTTGGGGGTGCATTATGCTAATAAAATCAGATTTTCCTCCCTGTTTTTCTCCTGCAAAGACCTGAGGTTTACCATTTCACCAACAGAACCAGCTGAGGCTTAGGGTGTTCAGGGATTTTCCTTCAGAAGAGCAGTAAGTACAGGAGCTGAGATTCTTCCCCGGTGGCAAGCTATCTTAAAAAATGAATCAGCCATCAACAAAAGAAGAATTCTGGGTATTTGCTGGCATCAATTGCCTACCATGTATAGAATATTTCTTCAAGAATAAGAAAGAAGAGGGGGGTGGAACATGGGAAGAATGGAACAAGGGAAGAAAGGTAAATGTCTCAGTGTTTGCTTCATGAGGTTCCCTCTATATTTCTTTGGAATGGAGGTGAAGTATACATTTTTCAGGAAATGGAGCTTAGGTATATTACCTATTTTTGTGTATACTGAGAATGTGTCTGCAGAAATGTGCATTTCTCACTTCTTCAACATGATCATTGTAGGTTAAAGATCACTGTAGTGATGCATAACGAGCCCCTCACATAAATAGTTTGGAGTCACCCAAAAGGAAATGGTAATTCAGTTCCAGATCCCAAGTAAGGGCATCAAGTATCTCATTACCACACTTACTGACTTACAGTGCTAGAGTCTCCTCCTGGTTGTTGGAGGGTGTGGGAACACATATGTTACCTGCTGTGATGTTCCTTGAGGACCGTCCTGGCTGGAAGAGACTCAGTTCAAGTTTTCCATCCTTAAGAAAGAGGACAAAACTTCCAGAGCCACGCCAAAATTCCCTGGAAAGCAGCTGACCTGCCTTGTTCCATGTCTGAAACTGAAAACTGACAGATACTTTGTCCTCCCCAGAGTTGCCTGGCAGAGCCAGATGACTCCCAGGGCTCAAGAAAGTCACGGGGACAACCTGTGGTTGTGGACATGAGAAGGACACATTTCCCTATAAATTAAAAAAAGAGAACATGTTAGGAAATTTTGGAGTGGTGACTCTGTACAATTAAAGATTGATTTTGCAAAGATTTACATTTTTCAATCCAGTATTATGTAGTCTGTCTGATACAGTTCAAATCAAAGAAATTTATCTTCCAACATAGACATGATCATAATTGGGTAGAGTTACCCAGGTCTTTTATTTGTGAAGTTCTCCACTTTTCTATATTTCAGTATTAGCATAGGAATCTTAATATAATGTAATATAATAAGAGCTCACTCTATGTCAGTTATTTCCCAGGCTGTCTGCTAGAGCTAGGGAAACAATAATGAACCACACATTTACATTTTCTCAGACTCTTCTCCTAAATATTTAGTCTTTCCTAAATAGCACTTCTTCAAAGCTCTTTTGTGCCAGTTTCATTATGTTGCTTATGCTCTCATTAATTAATAGGTTGATTATACATTTGATGCATGCTTATTTGGTATTTCTATAGGTCGTATTATTTAACCTTTGGAAAATTATATTTTTACAGTGTTCCAAAAATGTCTTATCATATCTAATAGCTATATACAAAGTTTTTAATGGTATTTTAGCATGAAAACATTATTAAATTTTTATACAACCAATCATGTCTATATTTTCTTGTATAGCTTCTGACTTTCAAATCTTTTTAATGGAATGTTTCATATAACATAATCCCACAGACTTTCTTCCAAGAATTGTTATCATTTGCTTCTCATCCTCTTCAAATCTAGTTTTTAGTGTGTATATAATAATTATCCAGGTTTATTTATTACCATATAGACAATTGTTTGTTCCAGCAGAGTTTATGAGCTAATTCATCTCTTTTCTACCAAACTGAACCACATGCCTTGTTACTAATAATTTTGTGTATAGACAAATCTTTCTGGGATCTCTGCTTTGTTCGACTGAGTTGTCTACTTCCATCCACCACCATGCTAATTTTAAGTACAGCATCTGTCAGTACGTTTTAACATCTGGCAAAGCAAGTCCCATCTTAGTATTTTTTCAATGTATTTTTCTTATTTTGGGTGGTTGAAGGAATAATTCTTGGGTATTGATTTATACATATGAATTTCAGTGGGAAAAAAGCAATTCTGATTCTAACTGAAATTTTCTCTCAACTATTTCTGTTAATATACCGTATATGATTTTAGGGAGAAAAGCACTACCAAGTAAAATAGGTAATCTAGGGTAGTAGTTCTCAAGTTTTGCTGAATGATCAGTTCACTAAAAGGTTATAAAAACCCCAATCAGGGTTGGAAATATAGCTGAGTGGTAGAGTGCTCGTTTGCCTCGGTACGCATAAGGCTCAGAATAAAAACAAATAAACAACCAAAAAAATCCACAAGTATATCTATTAAATCCCATCTCTGGGAGCAGATTCAGGTAACAGTATATTTTAAATCTCCCTGGTATTTCCAATAGAAAGCCACATTTAAGAATCACTGATGTGGGGATTAAAGTAACTGCAAAACAGAACTATATTTAAAAAAAATACTGTCCTAATATGCTAACATGACTCAGTTTTCATTTTCAAAAGTCCAGGTACTATGTATTACTGTATTAGTATATATAAAAACCAAAGCATTCATTCTAGACTTTTTAAAATATTTTGAGAGTGAAATGGCTTTTATCATAAAAAATTGCTATAATTAAATTCAAAAAGCTTAAAAGAGAATATTTCATGGTCTAAATTTAATCAGTGGTTTATATTGTTCTTTTGCTATTTTGTAAATGAGTGTCTGTTAATGTTCTCTTTTTATTTTTAAAATAAAAAATTAAAAAAATAAATTTAATCAGTGGGTTATTGCATGATATTTTTATTTTTTTTTCAGCTTCAGATTTCCTGACTGTATGGATTCAGCTTGACATAAATGCAGCCATATTGATTCATAACCTCAACGGTTACCCCAAAATAACCTGAGTTGGTCTTTCCTATACTTTCAAAGGAAACCATGGTATAGTTTCAAAGAAAACTATAGATAGCAACAGTCATTGCAGTGGTAAGTGAAGCTTATTACCCAACCTGGGTACCAGGAATATGCCTGATTCTTTTCTATTCATTTAAAATAAGCCAGGTGTGTTCTGGTTTGGATGAAATCACTTGTCCTGATCAACATATACATTTCTATTTCTGATCCAGATTCCAGAGATCCACTTGGTCTTGCTGCCACCCTCAGATCATGTTCCTGTCAGTAACCCTCCCCAGTAAATTGCACACTGGCCAATGCTAGATCTATCCCCTGCCCCCTCTTTCTTTGGTTTCACCACATGATGCAGCAAGGTCTCACACACCGCACTCAGGGCAGTCTGGATCCCTTGACTTGTCTTTCTGATGGCATCTGCCTGTCCCGACAAAGATGCAAAGCTTCTTGCCATAGATGAGTGACTGTTAGCCAGATGAGCCAATTCCAGCCACAGATTATGTCAAGTTATAAATATTTTCCTTTTACATATTGAAGCAACTGTTTTTATATTTTTATAAAGTCTACATAAAACTGAACCATCTCTCAGAGTCCACTTCCTACATCTAATATGCCTGTATATATACCATTTGGAAAGAGTTCTCTTTTCATTTGTTTTTGTTTAAAAGTAAGACATTGCAACATCTCTATACAACATAATTAATAAACTGTTTTCTGTTGTTTTTGTGTCGTTTCGTTTATGTCTGTGTGTTTGTTAATATGTTTTGGTTCCTTTATCTTTAAGACTAAAATTAAAAAATTAAAAAATAAACTGTTTTCTTTGGGATGATATTCATTCAGGACTCCAGAGACATCAGGATAACTGTGGTTCTCCTAATTGGCTATAATCAGTTAATAATTCCACCAATAAATCCATTAATAATCCAGAATTATATAAAATGCTGTATGGAAGTGGTGTCCACTCTTCTCAAATAGTTTTGGCTCCTTGTATGATAAGGCCTAGGTCACTCCTCTTTACCTCACTAACAGAACTTTGGGCAACAACCCCAAAGAGGTTAGGAAGGGGATGAAAGATTCTTCTTTACATCAGGGGTTGGCAAATAAAACTTCAGAAGATGTTACATTACAATTCGTGACACAGGTGCCCTTTGGCCAAACTAATCTTTGTATTTGGATGGTTTCTGCATAAAGCACCTCCAGTGAAGCTGATTTCTGAAATGCAGTGTCTTTTTCTCCTTCCTGTTCAAGAAATATTTAAATATTTCCAATTCTCCATGAGCAGGAACTTTAGATAAAAGCCTGTTGCATTTACCTCTTGCCTTCTCACTTATTTTTAATCTTGTGAAAGTTACCTGCTCTCTTCGGAGCCTTCTTATCTGTCTTTCCTTTGGTGTTTCTCTGTTCAGGCATCTTGATGATAGTTTCTATTCGTATTATCTTAGCATGGTAGCGTTCAGGGTAAGCGTCAGATGCATCTCCCCTGCCCCCGCTCCCGCCAACCTTGGAAGATTCATGGACCTCATGGTTATTTTCCCCTTTTCACCTTCTCATGTGACCAAGTGACGTATTATATTCTGGCATGCTGGCCCACAGCCAAAGATATGTTCAGGTTTTGGTCCTACAATCCCAAAGCCGACTCCTTACAGCACATCACAACAGAGAAAACATTTTTCAAACCAATACAAATAAATATTCCTAATGCATTTCCAAGATCTGCTGACAATAAACAGGAACTTGCCCTCTAACTTGGGTATTTTTAATTTTAAACACGAAAAGTTTATTGACTGATCTGGAAGCATTTCCAATTAATCAATGAGTAATTAATTAGGAATTTTACAAAGTATTTGTTCTCCTGAGAATAATAATACACAAGAATGAGCTATATTTTCAGATTTCCATGCAAAAAATAAGAAGTTATTTTATTTCATATTGAAATAACCATATGCCAACAAGGCATATATTTTTATGTATAAAATTATTATATTAAATGACAAATATTTAAAAAGTAAAAGTTGATCTTTAAAATATTATATTAATTGGATAATTTAAAAAATATTTTTATATGCAAAAAAAGAAAAAAAATTCTTTTTACTTCCTTCCTTTTTAAGCTTTCTTACCATAGTGAAGATTTCTGTTTTGTGTTTTTTGGCCAACTCAATAATATTTACTCCATTATAGTAAAGATTTTCTAAACATCCATGGAAGTTTTTATGTGAGAATCCCAGTGCTCCTTTGGGAGTTAGAATCCCTCCATAGCTGATCTTAGAAGGAAAAAAATAACATAAATAACATGGTTTAGTGATTTTCTGGTCGTATTGTGAGAACATTTATGAAGAACAGGTATAGAACTAAATATTCATCACAAATCCTTTTTGCATTACCTTACATTTCAACATTTAGTTTTGACCGAAACCTCTATTCCTATGACATTTTTGGTAGCTTTGTTTCTGGTTTCATCTTTTGCATACAAACTTAAAAGAGCTTGCAAACTTTTTCTGTAAAAAGCCACATGGTCAACATTTTTGGCTTGTAGCTCTTGTGGTCCCTCCTACATGACTCAACACTGCCATTGTAGGACCAAAGCAGCCATAGAAAATAGTTTTGAAAAATGGGCAAAGGTTCTAATAAAATCTTTTTTAAACTATTAAAACAAGTTACTTCTAGACAACAATAAAAAAGGCCAGTTTTGGCCTGAGGACTGTGAGGTGCCGACCTTTACAGTATGATCTATCTGATGCTATTATTGTTATACTCAAGGCAATAAAATTGTGGATAACTAATATAGGACCAGGGTCTTTTGTAGATATTATGGTATTAAAACCATCTACACTAGACAGATAGCACAGCTTTCCTAGTTTTCTCTTATCATTCATACATTTAAAATGTCCTATGAATAAATGGCAGACTAGATGTTATTCAATAACGTGATTTAGATACACACTGATAATTCATTGGAAAACAATGTTAAATCCTTTAAAAAGTTAAAAAATTATTTATATGTGTGCACTTGACTCTCTTGTTGTTTAGTAAACACACTGGTATACATGTGATTAACTCCACAGAGTGGTCCTGGATAATCCTACATTGATTAGCATTACACTAAAACAAGGAAAAAAAGTTCCCTAAGTATCTGTTTATTGACAAACAACAAATGTGAAATACCAGATGAATATAAAAAGGAATGTATTTAATAACGCTGTTTTCTGTTTTGGCATCTCATTTGTAGAAAAGTTACTAAACCTAACAGTACCCCTGCTTACTTCCACTTCATGTGGAAAGGATGCCCTATAATAATAAACTGTCTTGTTATAAGGGATACAGTGTTTAGAGATACCTGGACATACCTATTTTCATGTATTAGTCAGCATTATGTATTACCATGAAATGGTGTTTAGTGTTTTCCAGGTAATGCTTTCATTTAAAATATACACCCTATATTAACCTCAAAATTAAGATCCACGTAACTGGATTCCTTTACATGAAAATGATAAGTGTGTTTGTCCAAAGTGAGGGTGATATGTGTGCTGAGGATGTCGAGGAGGAGAGAATGCCAGTGCTGGTCATCTAGCAGGCTGCCCAGAGTGAGGGTCACAGGAGCATCAGTAGGTGGCACATGAGCATTGCCTTAAAAGAGAAAAACCCATTGGGTTAGTTTTACTAAAATTCATTGTTTTCCTTTATTAAATCAGCATTACAATTTGCATCCATCTTTCTACCCCATATCATTGTCACTTGACTTTTTCCACTTGCACACATCTTTCATCTTTTGTTATATTTCTTTTCATTCATTTCTATAGCTTTGAAGTAGTTTTTCAATGATTTATTTTTGTTATTATTCATGATATTTGCATTTACTTTGCACATATTTTCTTTGCTAGAACACTATCAGTAGCATCATTATCAATAGCACATTATCAATAGCATCTCATAATTTTGAATGATGTAGTTTTATATGTATGATTACATATAACCATAATATAGCATATATAATGTATTTATAATAACCTTCTTGCATAGTTGTCAAAATACACACTGTTTGCATAAGCCATATATGAGATACACACATGCTGCATATGTTTGTTACCAAGACTCTCACCCTTTCATTCACGTTTTCCTGGACAATTCTGCTTTGTACCTACCACCCAGAGTTGCTATTTGTATTCTGTCTTTTACCTTCCAAAGGCATTCCAGTTTGGATAAATGACATGGTCCCTTTACCTAACTGAAAAGATTAAGTACCAACACATGTATTTTCTTCTGAACAGATGTTTTAAACTACTGCCATGAAAGTAAAAATGCTTTTTACCTGGATTAAGAAAAAAGACAAGCTTTCCTTTAATTAATTCCAACGTAAAGTCATTTCCATGTGGTCCTGCTCTGCGGAGTATGATTCCATTGCTCTGCCTGGCTTTAAATTTCAAAGATATAGTATCTCTTATTGGTGCCATGGATTCTTTATCAAATCTGTGCAACAGAGCACTTTGTCCATCAAAATAAACCACCTCAGATCCTAGGAAAAAGGACATTAAAACCAATACTAATTATACATTAGCACTTTGAAAATATATGGCTTAATATATAACAACACACACAGAGTCTGTTCACTGAAAGGAAAAAACAGACAATAATATATTTTCTGTTAGTATCATCAGTTGATATAATAAATACTTAATCTACTCCCAGGGGCTCCCATCTTTAGAGTGGTCTATATCTTCTCCTGCTTGTTTTTAAAAATCAGAAAAGACTATATTTCTAATAATAATTTCTGCATTTTAAGATATTTCTTAAGTTAAATATTACTCCATTGTGTATAACTATCATATGTTATCTATCCGTTCATCTGTTGATGGATACATAGGCTGCCTCCAAGATTTACCTATGAAGTTGTGCTCTATAAACACGGGTATGCATGAGTCACTGTAATATAATATCATTAACTCTTTTGGGAATCTTGTATGATACCACTACACCAGCGGTGCTCTTATTAACTCTTTTGGGAAGATACCTAGAAGAGAAATAGTTGGGTGGAGTGGAATTTCTTTTAGTTTTCTGAGGAAACTCCATAATGAACTGCTGAGTCCGATAGTGGTTGTGTGCATTTACATTCTCACCAGCAATGAAGAGGGTTCCTTTTTCAGCCTCACAGCCTCACCAGCATTTGTTATTTGATATTTTTTTTTATCATAACCATTCTTTCTTGGGTAAGATGGAACCTCAGTGTTATTTTAATTTGCATTTTGTTAATGGCCAGAAATGCTGAACAAGTTTTCATGTAATTATTGACCATTTGTACATTTATCAAGAAGTGTCTATTAATCTCTGTCACTCATTTTATGACTGGAATTTTTATTTTGGGGTGTCTAACCTTTTTGAGTCTTTTATATACTCTAGGTATTAATCCTCTATCTGAAGAGCAGCTGGCAAATTTTTTCCCATTCTATTGATTGTCTTTTCACTTTATTAGTTGTTTCTTTTGCTGTGAAATGCTTTTAAATTTGACATAATCCAATTTTTGTATTCTGACTTTTCTTGATTCTTTCAAATGTAAACACTTTAGTAAAGATTTTGCCGGTTTATAAAAGATACACATGTACAAAAAAAGTTACATATGTACAAACACACTACATATGCACCATAGATATTAAATACTCCTTTAGATACGAGTAAAAATCCTATATATTCAATAAGCTGACATGTAATTTTTTTTGCAAATGATGAACGACATGGCGACATGTCAGCAGTTAGGCCACAGTGTCTAGCTGGTGGTGAAGCACTGACCTAGACGCTATTGTGCAAATTCTAACCATATAACTTTTGAATCAGTAGATGCTGCATATAGCAGATCACCCTCCACTGTGCAGGTGGCCTTCACCCTATCAGTTGAAGGAGGCCTTAAAAGGGCAAGAAAGCTGCAGCTTTTTAAGGGAAATTCTGCCTCCAGATGCCTTTGAACTTGAGCTGTAACTCAACTCTTCCTTGTGTCTCCAGGGAATCTGCTGAATTGCCCTGAAGATTTCAGATTTGCCAGGCCCTACAATCAGGTGAGTCTTCTTTAAAATACTCTCTGCTCACCAATACACACCAGATATCCTGCTGGCTTTGTTTCTAGAGAGCCCTAAATAATAAGGCACACATTTTTCTTATTTGGACTTTGTTGCGATAGCATGACTTTAACAGCACTGTTTTCGATCTTTCTGCTGCCACTTGTCAGAGCTACAATGTCACCATTTTCTCTCAGATCTCTGACAGGGTCTTATGATATCACTATAAAGGTCAAACATTCAGTCCATCAAAAAGAAGGTATGTTTCATCGATAATACAAGAGAACATCTGTCAAAATCAGTTGAAGCTTGAACAACAGATACACAAAGAAATTAAAGGGGAAAATGGTACACTGCTTTAGAATAACAGTTTGATATTTTCTAAATTATACATACATTTACTATATAATTCAGAAGTGATACAGCCAGATCTACAGTTTTAAAAGGTAACTGAAGGTGCAATGTGTAGAATAATTGCTTATGAGTAGACACAGAATGAACTAAAATAAGAACTGCATTCTGGGAAGCAAAAGCAGTAGGATCTCAAAATCAATCCCAGCCCGGGCAGCTTAGTGACTAAGCAAGATCCTGTTTCCAAGCAAAAAGTTAAAAGGGTGGGGAATATAGCTCCATGTGAAGGCCCTGGGCTCAATTTCCTATTCTGCACCCCTCCCCAAGCAATAGCAGTAATCTTGGTGACACCAGGTTGGGACGGAGAGAAGCTAGAGAGAAGTGAAATCATATAAGGACTAATTTTGAAGTGGGGTATCAGAATTTGGTGATTCAGTGGAAGAGCTTGGAGAGCAGGAAAGACAGGTAAGTCAAGGACCAGAGATTTCTGGCTTAAGAAACTGTGTGTTCCCTTCCCTTTCTTGTTCTTGATAGAGGCAACAGAAGGCATAGGCAAATAATAGAATGACAATTTTGTATTCCGTATGAGGACCCTGGGTAGCATTTATGATATTTTAGGTATTCCTGCCAACATGTTGAAAAATAAAATTTGCATTTGTCCAGCAATCACTCTGACTTTAGCGTTGAGTGAAGACTAGAGAGGTCAAGACAGAAGACAATTGGCTCAATTAGGTGGATGACATTTGGTACAGGCTGAGAGGCACCTTAGACTATTGCACCTGGAGAGAGGGATGAACAGATTAACATGTACTGAGAAAGGAGGACCAGACTTGAGTTCATAGGTTGCCATAGGTGTTGTTCTATGAGACAGAAGACAATAGAAGATTCATCATGTTTTTAGAGGGGAAGAGAGGTTGATAATTCCATAGTAGACAACTGACTTGTAGATGCTCATAGGACCAGAAGAAAGGGCCGCACCAGGGGGAGGCAGGGTTAAAGCTCCTCAGACCCAGGTTTGAGAATACAGATTTGGAAGTCACTGGCCTCTGTGTGAGGGTTGCTGAAAACTCGTGAAAGTGGACAGAACTCCCAATAAGAGCTTGAGAGGGGGCACCTGGCCATCTCTGCTCTTGCCTTTGCTGTGCAGGTGACCGCTGACATGGTGCCCATATCTACCTGACCCCCAGTCTAAAAATGGAAAGAGAGAAAGCCCATGTGATAAGCAAGGAAACCATGAAAACCCACAAAGTTTGTAGAGCTAATAAATACATTACCATAAATGAAATGTAAGAAAATAGGTGAAATGAAACTGGAAAAAGATGATACCTCAGAGCACCATCATATCCCACAATGATCGAAGTTCCTAAATAAAAATAAGGGGCTGGAATACAACTACTACAAACCACCTCTTCATAATGTGAACCATAAAATGTTATATTACTGTTTATAATATAAATACAATTAATACAGTTGAATATTAATTAATTCTTCTAAGAAAACAATGTTGAGCTCTACTCTTTCTAAAGAATGACTTAAGTTACTAATAGTGATATATTAGTAGTAGTGATACATTATCTGTCTGTATTTTCTTGCTAAAAGTCACTCACTCTCAACAATATGTGTTTACAAAAGTGAATGGTGCCAGGAGATTCCACGGCAGCTGCGTGGCCCACTGGCCCTTCAGAGCTTTGATGTTTCTGCTATTGACCTGAAGCCAAAGCTTTGGAGTAATACCTCCTCACGAAGGAACAGTATGCTAATGGAAAATCCTCATCAAAGAGAATGTTTCACTTTGAAGTTAGTAAAGTTGAAGTTGTTTCAGAGTAATGGAGGATGAGCTCACATCACAGTATCAGAGAAATTCTAACTCTCAGACATCAGAGCTACTGCAGCCATGAGCAAAACAAGAGTGATGAAAGGAAATGACCAACAGGAGGAAGAAAAAATGTTGCTAGTAAAACATCACCATTCTACTTAATACCCTATGCGAATGTCAACATCAGCAGAGTAGAATTAGGAAATGGGTTCCATAGGGGTTAAGTAATAAACTATAATGGATACTATCAGAGACATTAAATGTTTCATTGAAGATAGGTTATTCCTACGGCTGAGAAAATTAATATTCTTTAAGGCTAAAGCTACGGTTAAAAAAAGAAATGGGTTAACCACATGCAAATGATGTAGTATGAAAGTGCAACCTAACCCAACCCTAGGAGGCTTAGGACATTTCCATCTAGTGTGCCATTTGGGTTGTTCTCCAGTTTTATGCAAGAAGATTTTTAATTTTGTTCTATTTTGATGATACTTTCAAACATGATGATGATGTACAGAAATAGCAGAAGAATACTGTGAATCATCAAATTACACTTGTTTAGTAGAGCTCCACCAGGCAATTTCAATGCCTATGTTTATGTTGTATTCATAGCAGTTCCAGTCTATGTGCTTTAGTACAGTTAATAGATGAGAAAAGTGGCTGGTTTAATACATACACACAGGTTCCCACCAAGTGAAGACTGAGCAAAGCTTCAGCATGCTGTACAAAAGGCATGACCGTGGTGTTAATAGAAAAAAGTAGAGTTAGAACTGCAACATCACAGAGCAAGGGCCAGGCACGAGAAATTGGCCCCAGTACCACTACTGCATCCCAACAGCATCATCTCAGCTTCAGAAAAATAACATTGTTTGGTAACTAGTTAGAATTTTACTAGCATTATTAAATGTCAATGTCACAAGTACCTTGTTGAACTCTGGAAATCCAAAAATAAATCTCAGTTCAGTCCACCTCTAAACTCAACCATAAAAGGCTACAACTAGGGTTGACATTGTCATGGGGAGACAGACACACAGGGTTTTCATAAAAATCAGTTCTATTTGTGCAGCTGTTTAAAAAGTCAGAAAAAGTCAAATTCACTTGCAGTTTGGCTTTTACAGCTTCTCATGAGGATACTGATTTCATGAGAGGAATAAATGGTGCTTACTGTATGCACATCCATACACTTCAATCCGCATCCCAATCCTGCCCTTATGGTTCCAGGCTGAGGGGAGGAAGCGCAGGAACCTGGCTTCGAAGGGCAGCTGGAGTCTGTAGTGCACCACACTGTCAGCATTCGTGTTCCCTGGAAATCCCTGTGAGAAAATAGCAAAGAGATCCATGTAACAGTGGAATATTACCGCCTCGTCACCCCCATGATAACAGTGTGTGTTTACACTGTTGATTTGTTCTGCTAATGATCCATGTTTAGGTTACTGCCTCTCCTCGATCCCTGGATCAGTCACTATGTCTATGTTTTCTTTATATACAGGGAAATTGAAATGTCACCAGTGTGTCTGTAAACATGGTCCCTCTGAAATTTGTTATTCTAAATGCTCATAAACTGCTCCTCTCATTTTCAAGCAGTAAAGATGCTCCCATGAAACCCAATCACCCAATGTGATAGAGCACTGGGGCAACTAATGTCCAAGGGGCTGCAGAAAATCCTAGAGTCTGAACTTGAGAGCTAGAAAGGACCTAGACATCAACCCAGCCACATCCCTTAAATTCCAGAAGACAAGCTGCAGTCTGGGTGAGGGGAGTGGTCTGAAGTAGGGCAACTGGCTGTTACATAAGATGAACAGGATTCCAGTCCAGGGTACTTATTCCATCGCAGCATCCTCTTTGTGCTATCTAGCTCAACCCACTTCACAGAAACACAGTCTCAGTGCACGACTCCTTTACTGCTATACCTAATCTTCAAAGGTTCCTGTGGCCAGTGTGCTGGTGGGCCTGGGAGAAAAGCAATCCATTACCTGCCCACAGCAAAGGGTGTGCTTCTGCTCAGTTTCGCTATCTGAGCCCCTGGAAAAACCAGATGAGAGCAAAGAAGACTGCTTTAAACAACTGCTGACTTGTTTTCAGGTGTGGGTAAGGAGCTGAGCTCTGATCACGCATGCTGTATGTATGTATGGAAATATCACAAGGTACTGCATTCATATGTATGCTTAAGAGTTGATTCAAAAATCAAAACACATTAAAACATATGTACAAATAAGGAAAGAAACGATGTTCACATGTATATAAATTTACGGTAGCTCTCTTAACAATGGTCAATGAATAAGGTAAAATCTGTGCTCATGACCATTCACAGAGATGTGCAAACTGAAAAGTTAATTCTAAGCACTCGGGGTCTATCCTTACATGGCTTTTCTGCTGTGTAACTTCCCAACCCTCCCTTTCCTCAGGTTTTCAGGTTTAGTGAGTGGCTTTTATGTGAAAAAGTTAGTACAATAGTGGGGTAGGTGAGAGGTTAATGAACCACTGGATTTCTGATAAACGTTAATATAAACCTGAGACTTTAAAGTTTCCCACACAAGTATAGCTGTATGACGACTTCAGAGACATAGGCTCTTTTATTTAATAGGAGGGAAATTAAGGTTTAAAAACTACACCTTCTTATACTCTCTGGCACTAGACTGGTTTTGTCTAACATGCCTTGGGTACGCAGTGAGCATAAAGATGACGCAAGGGTCAGTGAGTTCAACCAGGAATCCAGAATGCTATCAGCCTAATTATTTTGCTTAGTTGAATAATTTGCCAGACTGAACCACAAATTGAATAAAAATGGATCTCCCTGTCCCACACCACCCTTGGGTTCTTGTCGTATAAACAAATGAAAAATTTTAAATAGACAGTGTCATAGTGAATGTGATCAATTTCAATTCTAGTAGATATGTCACACTTGGTAATAATTACTTTAGCAGTATTTGATGGCAAGTCTGGGATACCCAATCATTTTACTCTGTTCAACTAAAATATAATCTTTACCTACACGGACATCATTTTTTAAATTAACAAATTTTCTATCAGTTTCCAGGTAAAATATCTGCAGCCCATATATATCTCCAAGGAGACTTTAAGAATACCCACTTGCAGCCCCTCTGTGGGGTATCCTAGGCTGAACTGAGTCGCTTCCACCTGTTCACACTCTCCGGGCCTGACCTTGGCTGTAACTATGCTGTAAACTGCGAGTTTCCACCTGTGTAAGACATGCTCAGTGAAGCCCGATTCTAATCCAGTGAAATAAGGCTCCATCTGCCTGGAGGGATGCACTCCATGAGAGGGGACTGCTGGGGTTGAGGGGAGGCTGGTGATACTTGGTTGCTGTTGGTGCCCACGGTAGACATAGTTCATCCATGAGACTCTGAATTCTACTACTTATGTCCTAACATTATTTTAATATCTGAGACATCCTGCTAAACCGCTAAACTAAGAGCATCACTCATGAACTCTGACTCTAACATTAAAATTCGGTCAAAGAATTTAAATCAAATTTGTCTGCAGCTGATAACATTTTCTAAATTTCAGTACAACCAACAAAATAAAATATTTCCAATGAAGTCCACAAAGGCAGTCATTTTTCGTTTTTATATACCAGATATTATTTTTCTCTCATTTATTTTAAAATATAATGCTAGAAAATATACTTGTGATGGGTGTGATTATAGTGTCATATAGTAAAAATTAGTCTTATTTTTGCTTAGTAGAATTAAAATTGATTAGTATTGAAGGAGTTTTATATAAACATAAGCTAATAGTTTATGAATAGAGCGGATCAGAACAGATGAGGGACATATTGTTTAAAACTCAGTTATGAACACAAAATTAAACATTTCTACACATGATTGAAATATATTCAAGAGGCTGGGAGTGTCGCTCCACAATACAGTGCTTGCCTAGTATGTGCAAAGCCTAGGATCGGGTCACCAGAATCATGTAAAAAAAATACATTCTCACACATACACACACACACATGCAGGCACACACGTATACTCAAAGGTTTGAGTAGATATATAACAACATGAATTCATTCAAATTTTGAGGAACCACATTATTTATATCTTATTAGAAATATAGTTATAGGATATCCAGCAATAAACTAGTGTTCTTTAAAGACATAGAATTAGAAAGACCTATACTATTATTTCACTGACATAACATTTAAAACATTATTGAAATGTGTTTATATTTCAAAATAAAGAAATATATCTTTAAAAATACAATGCAATCTTTTATTCATTGAATGCAAAGTTTGCCATGAGAGTTAACAGACATGAATTTATAAGCAAACACAGACAGAATGTTAGACATAAAGACCTGTTTCTTGCTTTTATGTTAAATCAGAAAACAATAGGGCTACGCATTCTCTGTGGAAATCCACAGCCTTCAAAGATTCTGCAGAGGCAGAAATCTTCATTTGCAGACAAATGGAAAACACAGGACTGATGAGAGTAGAGGTTTAGGGAATGGCTTTTAAAATCCACTGTCCTGGGGATGAGTGAAAGAAGAAAAAAGAAAGAAGGAAGGCAATATATATATATATATATATATATATATATATATCTGGGATAACTGTATTGCTGATGTCTGATGGTGTATTGAAATGAACAGTTAATGCTTACAATTTTTTATGTTCTGATCGATTTTGCATGCTTGTGTCCGGTGGTCTGAGCAACCTATTTGAAGGTAACAATATGCAATGGAATTACAATGGTGAACTCCTACCATCTTGTTTAGTGATACTCTGTATTATCTGTAATGTTTTATTGAAGGATTATTTTCCTATTCCTTTTAATGGTTTGAGCATTCTTTCATTCTTACATCTGGTAATCTGAACAATGTAGTTGAGGATAGCAATATGTAATGTAACAACCACTGTTGATTCATATTATTTTGTCTTGAGACCCTGTGTCACTTTGAATGTTCTTGCTTTTATTTGTTTATGTTTGTGATACTGGTATGCTGCTACTGTTCTATTTTTTGTTTGTTTCTCATTTACTACTCTCTTTAAAATAAATAAAATCCACAGTCCTTCAAATTCGCATCTGTCTCTCCTTAAGCCTGTGACCTTGGCTGATGTCACAGTCATTTTTTGTAAAGTTCAAAAATAGTAACTACCTGAGGACCTCGGTAAGGGTTAAACTATTTAATGTACACAATGAATTTGTGAGATTATGAACTATTTTCCTCATGGCATTCCTCGTGTGTGTGTGTGTGTGTGTGTGTGTGTCCTTTTCTTGTTGAAAGATGAAGTCACTCAGTTAGTTCTGACGTGAATTTTGTCACTGAGGACATCACAACTGAGTTACATCCAGTGACAAAAAGTACATTTCAGGTAAAAGGACCAGTTTCTATAGCATGTTCTCTGGGTATACACACCAGTGACTGAAATCTGTGGCTTTGGGCCCATAAACACACTACAAATATGTTTCCTAAATTATTTATGAATTAATAAAATTGTTGAAAATTTTCCAAATCCTCACTTTGACTTGTTCTTCACATTCACATTACTGAAATGTAACAACTACAAGTTATGGTGCTACAATGCTCACGTGATCTGCTGGCCTCCTACATAAAGCTTAACAAATCAGTCCTCTTGGTTACGGCATATTAAACACCAGACACTCCATTTTGAGTGGAAAAACTCAGTATGAAAATGGAAGACTCATCAACAATTATGTTAAGAAGCCTCTTACAGATTTGTCATCTTGAATCATTTCTGTCTTAATGAGCTTTTCATTAAACCTTTCTTTAAGTTATAAATATACAAATTAATCATGATTTTTAAAATAAGATGCTACTGTACTGTGCAATTTCACACATTATTTCAGTTAGTACACAAAGATGTTTGAAAATATGGATCAAAATATCACTTCTTCAACTCTCCCGGTTTTATTAATAGTTTTCCAAACTGTTGAATGTACTCAATGAGATTATTTCAATATTCTATTGTTGTTTTAAGTTATCTTGGTTGTGCAGCAGAACAGTGTCTCAATAAGGAAGAGCCCTATAATGTTGACTATAATTCTGCTTATTTGATGGCCTCTCTGTTCTGGTATTGGCCATGACTGCAGTCTCTGCAATCTCAGCCTCTTTATGAGAACCATGAGATTTATACCAACACCTTTACTCAATTTTTCCCTTGTCGAAGGCTGTTTCTGAAAGCACCTTGAAGAGTCTAAGGAAATGTACAAATGAAATATATAATTAAGGTGCTCCCTATACGATATGCTAGCAAGACTGCTTGATTAAGATACTTTGTAGTTTTGAGTGTTATTAGAAAAACATTGATTTAATGCTAAGTACAGGATAT